TCTACTTTGTTGATCTATATATCTATTGTTAGGACAAATCACAGTGTCTTGATTACTGTAGCTTTATAATAAGGCTTTAAATGGGTAATTTCTCCAAACTTTTTTTTCAAAATTATTTTGGTCATTCTTGGTCATTTTACAATCAGCTTGCCAATTTTTATAAAAAATTCTGTTGGAATTTTTATTGGAATTGCATTGAATCTACACATCAATTTTGGGAGAATTGACAGTCATTCATATTGATAATATGAAATCTTCTAAACCATGAATATGGCATATTTCACCATTTATTTGAATCTTTAAATTCTCTTGGTAGTATTTTGTATTTTTCAGTGTTTAGGCTTTGCACATATTTAATTTTCCATAAGATTACATTTTTATGTTATAAACAGAATTTTAATTTAATTTTTTTCTAACTTTATTTTTTGTTTGTTCCATTGTATAGAAACACAATCGATTTGTATATATTAACCTTATATCTTGAGCACTTATGAGTGCTAGTAGCTTTTTTCTTGGTTCTTCAAAACTTTCTATGAATAAAATAACTTCATTTGTGAATAAAACCAACTTCACTTCTCCATTTTCAGTTTGTATGCCTTCTGTTTCTCCCTTTCTTTCCTTTTGTTGTTTTCTTTGTTTGTTTGCTTGTTTTATTGTCTTGCCAGAATCTCTAGCACAATGTTGAACAGAAATGGTGAGAATGGACAAGCTCGCCATATTGTCAATTCTAAGAAAACATCCAGTCTTTCAACACAAAAGATTATCTTAGCCTTAAGATTTTTTGGTTTTGTTTTGTTTCATAGATGTTCTTTATCAGGTTGAGAAAGTTACTTCCTATTCCAAGTTTATTGAGAAACTTTATCAAAATTCACTCTCAATGTGGTGAGTTACATTGATCGATGTTCAAGGGCTAACCAACTTTGCATTCCTGGAATGTTATCATTTTTATATCTTGTTCAAGACGTATTATCCTTGTTATATCTTGCTGAATTTGATCTGCCAAACTTGTTAAAGATTTTCGCATCCATGCTCATGAAGAATATTGGTCTATAGTTTTCTTCTCTTGTAACATTTATGCCTATTTTGGTGTCAGGTTAATATTGGCCTCATACAATGATTTGGAAGTTATTCCTTTCTTCTGTGCTTTCTGAGATGGTTTTTGAAGGATATGTATTATTTCTTCCTTAAATGTCTGATAGAATTTACAGGGAAGCCATCTGGGCAAGGTTTTAAATTACTAATTCAATTTCTTTAGTAGGTATGAGATTATTTGAATTTTCTCTTTCTTCTTATGTCCCATCTGATAAATTCCGTCTTCCAAGGAAGTTGTCTATTTCATCTAAGTTGTCAAATTTATTTACATAAGTTGTTCATAATATCTCCTTATTATCCTTTAATCCCCAGTAGGCTCTATATGTTCTTTTATTCCTGATATTGTTAATTTGTACCTTCTCTGTTTTTTCATTGATCTTTTCAAAGAACCAGCTTTTGGTTCCATTAATCTTCTTTGTTTTTATTTGTTTTTTGTTTCATTGACTCTTGCTATTTCTTTCTAGCTGGTTACTTTGAGTATAATTGGCTCTTCTTTTTCTAATTTCTTAAGGTCAAAGCTTATATCATTGACATTAGACCTTTTCTCCTTTTCTAATATAAACATTTAAAACTGTAAGTTTCGCTCTAAGCACTGCTTCAGCAAAACAAATTTTGAAATACTGTGTTTTCATTATCATTCATTTCAAAATGTTTTATTTCCCTTGCAATTTCTTTGACTCATGGGTTATTCAGATATGTGCTATTTAATTTCAAAGTATTTGGCACTTTCATTTATTTTACTGTTATTATTTCTCATTTAATTCTATTGTGGTCAGAAAATACGCTATGTAAGATTTCAGTCTTTTGAAAGGGACTTATTTAATGGCCCAGGATATGGTCTGTTTTGATGAACATTTCATATGTGCTTGAAAAGAACGTGTAGTCTGAATTTGTTGAGGGTATTGTTCTATAAATGTCAATTAAGTTAAAGCAGTTGATAATGTTGCTCAGATCTTTTTAAATTCTTACTAATTTTTTGGCTATTTGTTCTATTAATTACTGAAAGAAGCATATTAAAATCTCTAACTATGTTATTCATTTGTCTATTTTTCTTTAGTTCTACCAGTTTTTGCTTCATGTGTTTTGAAGCTCTACATTTATTTTGTGTTACAACAATAGATACAATTGTTATGTATTGTAACAATTAATAATATATCCTCATAAAATATCCCTCTCTGCCTCTTATTAAACTTTCTTATTTTATCTATTTATCTTTTATTAATATAGACACTCTAGCTTTTTTATGCTTACGGTTTGCCATCTATATCTTTTTTGATACTTTTAACTCTATTGATGTCTCTGCAGTTAAAGTGAGGCTCTTGTAGACAGCAAATGTTTGGGTCTTGCTTTTTTATCCAATCTGACACAGTCTCACAATCTCTGCTTTTTGATTGGAGTGCTTAGTCAAGGGGCATCTGGGTGGCTCAGTTGGTTAAGGGCCTGCCTTCGGCTCTGGTCATGATCTCAGGGTCCTGGGATCCACTCCTGCATAGGACTCTCTGCTCAGCAGGGAGTCTGCTTTTCCCTCCCGCTCTCCCTCTGTACTCTCCCTCCCTCTCTCTCTCTCAAATAAATAAATAAATCTTAGGGACGCCTGGGTGGCTCAGTCGTTAGGCATCTGCCTTCAGCTCAGGTCATGATCCCAGGGTCCTGGGATCGAGCCCCGCATCGGGTTCCCTGCTCCGTGGGGAGTCTGCTTCTCCCTCTCCCACTTCCCCTGATTGTGTTCCCTCTCTCGCTGTGTCTCTCTCTGTCAAATGGATAAATAAATAAAATCTTTTTTTTTTAAATGGAGTTCTTAGTCAATTTAACATTATTTCTTATCTGATTGGATTTTGGTCTACCATTTTGCTATTTGCTTTCTATTTGTCTTATCTGCTTTTGTTCCTCTGTTCCTCTTTTCTTACCTTCTTTGTGTTAATCAATTATTGGTAGCATTGCATTTTAATTCCTGTATTTATTCTTAGTTGTATCTCTTGGTATTATTTCTTTAGTGATTGCCCTAGGGATTACAATCTCTATTTTATCACAATTTACTTAGAGTTAATGTTGAATTAATGGTAAATTTGAAATACAGGAACCCTGTGACAATATGGTTCTGCTTCACATTCACTCATTGTGCTAGTGTTATATATATATATTACATCTGTATGTTTTATAAACCAAATAATACTAGATTCCAAGTTTCTGATCTTTCATGCCTGATTCATGATGAGATTTTGAATTTCAAACAACACTCTCAACAGTTATAACTTGACCCAACAAGGTCAAAACCAATTTCTCATTGCACTAAAAAAATTCCGGAAAACATTTCTTGTCTTAATGCCATTATAAAAGCTAGTGATGGGGAAACCTGAGCAGCTCACTGAGGTTTATTCCTTGCCTCTGAAATAAACGTTTGGAATATTTAAATTTCAAAGTTGAAAGAGAATTTAAAATCTTCTTGTCAGCACTCTCATTTTGTACCCAAAGAAGTGGCATCCAGATATGTAAAGGAGTGATCTGAGATCACATGCATTCATTCATTTAGCAATTCACTGAAAAACTCACCATTCATTGTAAAAATGTTTATGAAGTGCTTACCATATACCTGTTAATGAAGATACAAAAATGAGTAAGAACTAAAAGGCATTGAATTGTACACTTAAAACTGGTGAGTGTTATGGTGGGTAAATTATTCCTCAGATAAAGCTGTTAACAAATGAGTAAGATCCAGTCCTTTCCGTCAAGGAGATCAGAGTGTAATGGAAGTGTAAGACACACATAGACGATTGTACAATACATACTGTAATTACAATGCAACACATATTGTAATTACAATAAAATGTGAACATGCTATAACAGACCTGTATGCTTAGCCACTTAACACTGGAGAACCCTGGGGCTCAGGCTTGGACCTCTTCTATTTTCTTTCCACAACCACTCCCTTTATGATCTCATTCAGTATCATGGCTTTAAATATCAGTTGTATGCTGACGACTCCAAAATTTCTATCTCCAGCAGATGTCTCTCCCAAATTCCAGACTCATACATCCAACTGACAAACTGATATCTCTCCTTTAAAGGCTAATTAGCATCTCAAACTCAACATCCAAAACCAAATTCCTTATCTTCCCCCTCTAAATCTGCTCCTTCCACAACCTTCATCATCCCAATTCATTAACAGCTCCATCTTTCTAGTGGCTCAGGCCAAAAAAACTTGAAGTCATCTTTGACTTGTTTCTTTCTGTCATTTAATCCATCAGGAAGTCCTGTTGGCTCTACAATCGACATAAATCCAGAATCTGACCACTTCCCACCACCTCCCCTGCTGCAATCCTGGTCCAAACCACCATTTTCTCTTGTCTGGAGTATTGCCTTGTCCCCTAACAGTCCATATTCTATAAAACAGAAGAACCCTTAAAAATGTAACTCAAGTCAGTTCTCTGATCAAGTCCTCCAATGGTTTCCCATCTCCCTACTAGTTAAAGCCAAAGTCCTCACAGGGGCCTCAAAGACCCCATAAAAATCTGGGCTCCCATCTCCACTCTCTTATCGTTCTTATCTAGTCTCCACTACTGTTCTTTCTGCTCACTCTGTTTCATGCACATGAGCTTCCTTGCTCTTCCTCAAATATTACTGGCAAGCTCTTCCTTCAGAGCCTCTGAATTGCCATTCCCTCTACCTGGAGCTCTCTTCATCAGATATCCCCATTGCTCACTCCCTCCCCTGCTTCAAGTCTTTGCTCAGATGTCACCTTCTCCCTGAAGTCTTCCCTGATTACCCAATTTCAATTTGTAAGCTTCTCACTGGTACCCTGGCACTTCCTATTGTTCTCTGGCTCTATTTTCTCCATAAGCACTTATCACCTTAAATATACCTCATAAACAATTTACTTATTTGGTTCATTTTCTGGTTTTCCCCAATAGGCCAAGAGCCCTATGAAGGCTTGTCTGTGTTCATCACTGTTTTGCAGCATCTAGAACAGTGCAGTATTCAAGAAAACGTTTGCATGAGTGTATCAATGTGCCTAGTGCTGTGAGAGAAGGAAATGGGTGAGTTTTCTTCTGTGACCAGGCCAGGTTTGTTTGCTTGTTTGTTGGTTGGTTGGTTTGTGGGAGGGCCATGATGGAGGAAAGGTTGCTAAATGTCAGTGGAAAGTTAACTGTGCAAGTGACAGTTGAACTTAGCTGTGAAGGATGATCAGGAATTTTCTAGACAGAGAAGATAGTGAAGGGCATTCCAGGTAGAAGGAGTAGCATGTGCAAGAGCAATATTTTACAAAAGCATGGCATGAGCATAAAATGCCAATGAGTATGACATGAAGGCAGAGCGGAGTAGGGAAAATGAATTGATGGGTCCAGAGAGGAGGCCTGGAGGGCTAATCAGAGCCAGCCATGAAAGATGGAGCCAGATTAGAGCTGGCTCTTTTAACTCCCTCTCCAGTGCCTTGTTCACTGCTTCAGAAAAACTCTTTTCAGCCTAAAACTTGTTTTTCCTTTGGGGATTATAGGTTGATACCTTTACCACCCATGTTTACTTTTGTAAATAAATTATATTCATAACCCCAGAATGTGAGATTTAAGACAGGTGATTCTAAGAGTATGTACATTTTAAAAAACAAAAAGCTGAAAGTGTTTGTATTTTGAGATAGATTATAGATTTTTTATTATATTCAAATCCAAAAGACCGAAATAATCAAAATTTCCAAAGAAGTGACAGCTGGTGCCTGGTGCAAGCCTATTTTCGCCATCAATTTAGAGTTCAAACTCTGTAGGAAAAAAATGCCAATGATCTAATACACAGAGGACTATGGAAATGGGTGTAAAATTGGGGGGGGGAGTGAAAAATGTCCTCCACATTTTTTTGGCAGTTGACAACTGACACTGGTATTATATTAGCTATTATATATTTGAATTATTAAATTAAGCAGTGAGGAGTAGGAAATTGTAGGAAGTGAACTGATCATGGACTATAATATTGTTTTATTCTCAAAAGTGACATTTCTTATACTTGAGTTTTTCTTAATTCCATTGTAAGGCTGAAGATCTTGCACCTTTTAACTTTGTCAGGGTTAAATATTAAACATTAAAAAGAAGCAATCAGCAGAACAATTATATTATTCATTCAACAAATATTTGACAGCCTATATCAAAAAGGAATGTAATTTGCTTTTGGATTCCACACGACACGAAAGCAAGTAGTTATTTCTCTTTCTTAAAATAACCATGAAGAATAACATTGATCTATAGTGTGGAGATTAACCGTTCAAATTAACTTGTAAACTTAGAGTCTTATGTGGTTTAGATGAAACAGTTGTGAGAATCCCCCGGAAGTCCTATGGAAAGCATATCATTTTCACTGACTTGTATGTGCAACAACTGCCTAAAATTTTGTTGGAAGTCATATCAGCCTATACTTAGCTTCAAACAGAGATATTTCTAAGATTCCTTGCATCGGAGTGAGCTCATCCTGCACCCAGCACTTGAGAGCCTTGATATTACCACGACAAGACCCATTTTCTCTGTATAAACGTATATATTCATAGCATTTTTAAATTGCATTCCTTGCAATATGTAGCAAGAGCCACACAGATGTTGTCACTCTGACCTAGCAATTCTACTCCTGGGAACTTATCCAAAGGAACTAATTCCACAGAAACAAAAATCTAGATGCACAAAGATTTTTTTATTACAGGGCCATCTATAACAGCCAAAATTGGGATGCAATCCAAGTTTCTACAAGCAGAAAATGATGTTAAAAAAGTGTAGTGCATCAACAAGATGTCATATTACCTGATCGTTAAAAGTCAGAACCATGAAGAGACTGCAGAAATGACAAAAATATTTTTGATAAACCTTGAATTAAAAGGTAGTGTTTTAAAAATGGCATTTACATTGTGATGATAAAGTGTAAAAAGAGATGAACGTGTGGAGGACCAGAAGATAAAATGGACAAAGGAAAGTAAGTCTCTCAAGATAGAAGAATTAGGAGTTTGTTTTACTTCTTGTAAACATTTCTCAAGTTTTGTTTTACATCAACTTTTCTTCTTTTTTTTAAGATTTTATTTTTAAGTCATCTCTACACCGAAGGTGGGGCTTGAACTCACCACCCTGAGATCCCCTGTCGAGTGCTGTACCGATGACTAAGCCAGCCAGGCGTCCCTGCATCAGCTTTTCAACTGAAGATTATGTCATGCAGAATCAACTCACACCATAAGGATATGTCCACATGGATCATAAATAAAAGCAGGGTGTTTACAGAATGGACCCACTTGTGCTCTCTGTGAGCCTCCAACTATCGTCATCTCTGTAACTATAGTTATCTCCACCCCTGATGTGACTGTATTGGAGATAAGGCCTTTGAGGAGGTGATTAAGGTGAAATGAGCTCATGAGGGTGGAGCCCTGATCCCATAGAACTGGCTTCTAAGAAGAGGAAGAGACACCAGAGGTCTCTCTCTCTCTCTTTCCCCACCATGTGCAGACACGGTAGAAGGCAGCCATCTGGCTAACAGACACATGAAAAATGTTCATCATCATTAGCCATCAGGGAAATCCAAATCAAAACCACATTGAGATACCACCTTACACCAGTTAGAATCACAAAAATGGACAGGGAAAGAAACAACAAATGTTGGAGAGGTTGTGGAGAAAGGGGAACCCTCTTACACTGTTGGTGGGAATGCAAGTTGGTACAGCCACTTTGGAAAACAGTGTGGAGGTGCCTCAAAAATTTAAAAATAGAGCTACCCTATGACCCAGCAATTCCACTCCTGGGTATTTACCCCAAAGACACAGATGTAGTGAAAAGAAGGGCCATATGCACCCCATTGTTCATAGCAGCAATGTCTGCAATAGCCACTCTGTGAAAAGAGCCAAGATGCCCTTCAACAGACAAATGGATAAAGAAGATGTGGTCCATATATACAGTGGACTATTACTCAGCCATCAGAAAGGATGAATACCCAACTTTTGCATCAACATGGATGGGACTGGAGGAGATTATGCTAAGTGAAATAAGTCAAGCAGAGAAAGTCAATTACCATATGGTTTCACTTATTTGTGGAACATAAGGAATAACATGGAGGACATTAGGAGAAGGGAAAAATGGGGAGGGGGAATTGGAGGGAGAGATGAACCATGAGAGACTATGGACTCTGAGAAACAAACAGGGTTTTAGAGGAGGGGGGAGAGGGGGTTGGTTAGCCCGGTGATGGGTATTAAGCAGGGCATGTACTGCATGGAGCACTGGGTGTTATATGAAAACAATGGATCGTGGATCACCACATCAAAAACTAATGATGTATCGTATGGTGACATACATAATAAAATTAAAAAATAAAAAAAGAAGGCAGCCATCTGCAGGCCAGCAAGAGGGCTCTCACTGGAACCTGGCTGCGTTGGCACCCTGATCTCAGACTCACAGCCTCCAGAACTGTGAGAAATAAATGTCTGTGCCTGAAGCCACCCGGTCTATGGTACCTTGTTATGGCAGCCCAAGTAGACCAAGACACTAACTTCCAGGAACCATGTGGGTTCTGTGGGCACAGCATTCCAGGCAGACAGCGTGGGCCCCAGGAACACAAGGTGCCCCTGCCCTGACTGCCAAATGTCCAGCTTTGGGGACAGGTCCAGAATCGGTAATAGTAATGTAAGTTCTGTCAGCTGTGGCAGCTCTTCATATGCAAAGTATATTCAGAAATCAGGTGCTTTTATACGTAAACCTGACAGCACACCCGTATACCAACGGATGCATGCACTCATCCAAGAAATAGGTCTCGAACACCAGCTGTGTGTCTGTTGAGCACATCGGTGCGGGGGCGATAGCAATAATCAGAACAGACCAAGTCCCTGTCCTCAGAGAGCTGATCTTCTACTGGGGAACACAGGCGATCAACGAAATGAGTAAGCAAAATGTATGATATGCTAGATGGTGGTAAGTGCTAAGGAGGAAAATAAGGCAGCCAAGAAGGCAACCTTCAATAGAGAGGCTAGGGGACATCTCACAAAGAAGGTGACAGGGGAATAAAGACCTGGAGGAGGTGAGGGAGGGAGCCATGTGTATATCAGCAAAAGAACATTCCAGAATGACAGAAAGGCAAAGGGCCTGAGATGTGCTGGAAAATCACCAAGAAGGGCAGTATGGCAAAGAAGAGAAGACATGAGGGGAGAGAGTTGAGGGGTGGTACAGATCACCATTATGCAGAGCTCCTAGAACATTCTATTGACTTCAACTTCTCCACTTAGCAGAGGCAGGGGTTCTTTACATTGTTACCAAGTCTCTCTGGCTGCTGCCTGGGCAGCATTGCTATGGAGTAACGCATTGGAATACAGGCTACAGGGGCTTTCCAGGGCTGCCCTCACCAATCACCACAAACTGGTGGCTTAAAACAAGACAAATGTATTCTTCCATGTTGCTGGAGGCTGGAAGTCTGAAATCAAGGTATCTGCAGGGTTGGTTTCTTCTGGAGTCTCTGAGGGAGAATCTGTCCCATGCTTCTCTCAGCTTCTGGTGGCTACAGCAATCCTTGGCATTCCTTGACTTGGAGCTACATCATTCGAATCTCTGCTTCTGGCTTCAGGTGGTCTTTTTCCGTGTGTGTGTGTGTGTGTGTGTGTGTGTGTGTGTCTGCCTGTCTGTCTGAACCTCTCTCTCCTTTTTCTTATGAAGATACCAGTTTTTTGGATTTAGGGCCCACTTTAATGCAGTATGACCTAATCTTAGCTAATTACATCTACAAAGACCCTATTTCCATTGGCAGATGAATTTGGGGGATAGTATACAACTCACTATGCATACCTATCACTAAAATACCATGTTTAGGCTTATGATCTGAAAAAACGAGGCTTGTTTTTTTAGGTACATTCCTGCAGTTTATAGGAAGGAAAACACCATGTGAAGTGAGAGTTGATTCCTTGGCAAGATGGAATTGGCTGAAAACAAAGTATACATAAGAAGGTTAAAGTTTGGGGCGCCTGGGTGGCTCAGTTGGTTAAGCGACTGCCTTTGGCTCAGGTCATGATCCTGGAGTCCCTGGATCGAGTCCCGCATCGGGCTCCCTGCTCAACAGGGAGTCTGCTTCTCCCTCTGACCCTCCCCCCTCTCATGTGCTCTCTGTCTCTCTCATTCTCTCTGTCTCAAATAAATAAATAAAATCTTTAAAAAAAAAAAAGAAGGCTAAAGTTTGGGGCGCCTGGGTGGCTCAGTTGGTTAAGCGTGTGCCTTTGGCTCAGGTCATGATCCTGGGGTCCTGGGATCGGGTCCCGCATCAGGCTCCTTACTCAGCAGTAAGTCTGTTTCTCCCTCTCCCTCTGCCCCTCCACTGCTCACTCACCCTCTTTCTCTCTCAAATAAATAAATTAAATTACATTTTAAAAAAAGAAGAAGACCAAAGTCCAAGTCCGAGGGACTAATCTGCCGAGTTGTTTTTCCCCCCCCAATAGTAACAGCAAACTTATCTGAACACATACGTTTGAAAAGAAAACAAAAAGGCCTTTCCACAAAACTGCCTTCGGTAATGATGGTTTTAGCCCTAGCTCTGGGAAGTGAATGGCGAGGTAGTCTGGCAAGTCTGGGCTGGGGATCTCCAGTAGAAAGGCAGGGTAAAGGCTGCCAAGCTTTGCCCGGTGACTTTTTAAAGATGATTTTAATTAATTTATTTGTCAGCGACAGAGAGACAGCACAAGCAGGGGGAGCGGCAGGCAGATGGAGAAGCAGGCTCCCCACTGAGCAGGGAGCCCCACTCGGGGCTCAATCCCAGGACCCTGGGATCATGACCTGAGCCAAAGGCAGACGCTTAACTGACTGAGCCACCCAGGTGTCCCTGCCTGGTGACTTCTTAAAAGAACTTGTTTGTGCTCTATGAAACAAAACTGTGGACTAATTCAACATCTACAAACAATAATCAAATTCTTAAACTGCCACATCGCTTCTCTAGACTCACCCATTGGCCACTCCTCTCCATGGAGCCCTCTGAGCCTGATTCATCAAAGTCCAGGAAGAAATCCCAGGAGAGAAGGTCAACAAGGACAGCAGGGTGCCCTGGCTCGTTTACCAGCCTGGTTGACTGCTGCCAGCCATGCTCCTCAGGTGGCGCTGTCTTAACCCATTTTTATATGGCTGTGTCCACCTCAGAATAAAGTCATGGAACCATTCTGGAGAAGATATTGAGCACGTGAGGCTACTTCACCACCATGAACTAGTGATGTTTGGTGATCATATGGGATGCTCTCCACCATTCTCTTTCTGTCTCTCTTTCTCTGCTCTCTCTCTGTCTCTTACACACACACTCTTTACTGCCTTGCCTCTTCAAAATGCCACCGTCTACTTCTGGTCCAGCTGTTCTTGTTCTCCAGACCCTCTCCCCACACATGCACATTTTACACTCAGGGCCTAGCCTTATGGAGGGCCTGCACCTCCATCCCTTCTACCCAAATGCTGCCCACCTGATACCCAACCATATTCCTGCCCCCCTCCTGTTCACTGTGGCATATAGAGCATTAGCTGGGTCACACATGAGATCAAATTGCCCACCTACAACAAAGCTCTGCGCTCAACCTAAGACATGTTGAGAGACTGACCCCAGCAAGCCTCCATGAGCAACATCAGTAGAGAACAGTAGTACAGAAATCTTTGCTTCTTCTTTCCATAGATGAACCCTGCTCCCATGCCCATATTTTTGGCATTCCGACACTAAGGCTAGACTGAGTGCAGAATAAGTGTGAAAGCCCAAATCTAAAGAAAAAAATTTTTGTGTGTAGCATTTCATTATGGTTCAGCCTCTTTTGCCTTTCTTTCTGGTTCCCTGCTTTTTCATTTAAATGGTAGCATTTAAAAACACTGCTGTATCCAAAAGAAAACAAAAACGTTAGTTTGAAAGAATACGTGCACCCCTATGTTTGTTGCAACATAATTTACAATAGCCAAGGTATGAAAGCAACCTAAGTGTCCACCGATAGATAAAAGGATAAGGAAGATGTGGTGTATGCATGCAATGGAATATTATACAGCCACAAGAAAGGATGAGATCTTGCCATTTGCAACAACATGGATGGACCTACAGGGCATAATACTAAGTGAAATAAGTCAGACTGAGAAAGACAAATATATGATTTCACTCGTGTGTGGAATCTAAAAAACCAAAACAAATGAATAAGCAAAAAAATGCAGAATCAGACCTATAAATACAGAGAACAAACTAATGGTTGCCGAAGGGGAGGCAGGTGGGGGGTAGACAAAATGGGTGAAGGGGAGAGGAAGATCCAGGCTTCCAGCTACGGAATGAACATGTCATGGGGATAAAAGGTACAGCATACAAAGTATAGAGTCAATGGTATTATAATAGCATCGCATGGTGACAGATGGTGGCCACATTTGCGGCGAGCACAGCATGACAAATACAGAAGTGGAATCCCTCTGTTGTACACCTGAAACTAATGTAACATTGTGTGTCAGTTGTACTCAAATAAAAAAAAATTTTTTAAAAGGCCATAAAAAAGAAACACTGTTGTAACCTTGCTCTTTAATCTCTCTTTACTGATGTGTATTTTACATATCATATAATTCATCCATTTCTCGTGTACAATTCAATAATTTTTTTGGCAAGTAACCAAGTCGTGCAGCCATAACCTTGAATCAGTTTTCGAATGTCTCTATCACCCCAATAAGATCCCTCCTGCTCATTTGCAGTTAACCCTTTCCATCTCCACCCCCAACCCCTGGCAACTAATGATAAAGGAAATCTTGGTATTGTCATCATAGGCTAAACAGACTTGGGCAGTTTCCTTCCCAAGTGAGGAAGCGGGCATTTTCACAGCGACTGCCTTTGTGGTCTAAGCCCAGGGGCAGGTGTAATGGTGAAACTGAAGGTTGGGGGAGGGGAGAAGGAGGCTGTGGTGGCACATTGACCTTGCTGGGATACGTCAGCCCCCTGCCCCCAAACCACAGCACGCTGACAGCCTCCTAAACCAGCTCCGCCGAGGACAACTTTTTTTAAAAACCTAAAAACGAAATTCACAGTAAAAATGACTATGTGCCTCAGTCTTAAATTTACCGTAACTTTTAAAAAGTAAATTATATTTGTAAATCCTGGGTTTTTCTGACCCGAAAAGTTTTTTTGTAACTAAAAAACATAAGTCGAGATAAAATAAGACATCACCATGCTCAGGTACACAGGGAGATGCCTGTCACTGACAATTTGGGGGTTTTGTTTTAAAGAAAGAAATGTCAGAGTAAATGCAAGAAGCAGAAACCATGGGGGCGCCTGGCGGGCTCAGTCACTAGAGCACTTGACTCTTAATCTTGGGGTCTTGAGTTCGAGCCCCATGTCAGGGGGAAGGGTAGAGTTTACTTAAAAAAAATTTTTTTTAAAAAAACACAAAGAGGTATTTCTGCCTCCACTGTCCTCTGTGCTCCATTAGAGGAAGGACATAATAGATCCTCAATTAGTATTTGCTTAAAGAATGAATCAGTGAATGAGGGCTATTATGTTCTAAGCCCTATGCTAGAAACTGGGGATTAAAAATGACAAAGGCCGGGGCGCCTGGGTGGCTCAGTTGGTTAAGCGACTGCCTTCGGCTCAGGTCATGGTCCTGGAGTCCCTGAATCGAGTCCCGCATCGGGCTCCCTGCTCTGCAGGGAGTCTGCTTCTCCCTCTGACCCTCCTCCCTCTCATGCTCTCTGTCTCTCATTCTCTCTCTCTCAAATAAATAAATAAAAAATCTTTAAAAAAAATGACAAAGGCCTTGATGTCAAGAAATCTAAGTACACTGGAGAGGCAGGTATATAAACAAATAATTTCTCTGTAGTATGATAACCAATACAAGTAATTTCAAAATATAGGGCTATCTCAGAATGGGCAGTAAATAGGGGGAAATGATTAGGGAAACTTCGCATATGCTCATATTCTTCAGGTAGGCAATGACAAAGGAGGGTATTCTAGGCAGAGGAAATAGGGTATACAAAGGAATGAAGTAGTTCAGTCCGACTAGAGCATAAAATCTATCAAGATATGTTTGCCCCTGCAGTCGTGGGACACAGTGCAAAGATTAACAAAGTCTTGGGTGAGGTCAGATGTGGGAAGTGAGAGACAGTTTGATGGTCAAGTTCAAGAGGGTTGGTGGGAAGCAAGCACTGTGCCCAGTGCAAATGGGCACAATGCAAATGTCTAGAGGACAGACTAGAAGGTGTTAACAGCAGTATGCAGAACAATGGAGCAAATATCCTGTACCAGTGTATGGTAGGATCTCAATGCTGAGAAGGTAGGAAAGTGGGAATGGTAGAAGTCATAGTTTGTTGTTTGTTTGTTTTTAAAGATTTATTTATTTATTTTAGAAAGCGAGTGGGGAGAGAAAGGCAGAGGGGAGAGAGAGAATCCCAAGCAGACTCCCTGCCTAGCACAGAGCCCGAGGTGGGGCTTGATCTCACCACCCTGACATCATGACCAGAGTCGAAATCAAGAGTCAGATGCTTCACTGACTGAGCCACCCAGGTGCCCCTAGAAGTCATAGTTTTGATGGAATAAGCTGGCACATGAAATTGTATGTGAATTCTGCAGTGGGTAGGTAGATGCCCCAGAATGACGTAAAACAATGTAAATGCTCTTCAAATAGTCAATATTCTGTGGAGAGGAGAAAGTAGATGGGTAAATGTGGACTTGGATGAATTTAAACAGAGTCCCCCAAACCAGAAGAAAAAAAATATACTTGAATTATAAGTCAGGTATCTGGACTCTTAGGGTGGGCTGGGTCAGGATAAATTAGCATCCTGTCAGATGTACACAGAGTGACCTTCGTGAATAAAACACACTCCTCTCCCTCTTGAAGAAGTCAACTATAATGGTAAGAAGAGTAGGAAGCACTGCCTCCTGCCACACCCTGGAAAATCTTTAGCTGACTCTGAAGAGGGAGAGAGCGGCTTCTACTCCTAGACTGCTGCATTGTTCAGCACCATACAGCAGTCCTTTGGCTAGAAGGGATGTGGTCCGTACACTCCTATACAGAGTGTTTGACAACCCATTCCTCAGTATTGGCCAGGATTCAATACTATATACAGTAGTTGAGAACTGCCCAGACTACAGCACCATGAATATGTGAATCATCGCTTTCCACTATCACAAGTCATGCAAAATGCTGGTCAT